CTCTGCCCGGCCGGCAGCGCTGGCAGCGCGGGCCCTCCGTCCAGTCTGGGGGAAAAACATGGGAAATTGGTTAAAAGCACAAAAAACTGCAAAAAACGGGGTTAAAATGGGAAAAAATGGGGTTAAAATAGGGAAAAATGGGTTAAAAAGGGTTAAAATGGGGATTTTGGGGGTTTTGGGAAGGGCTGGCAGCGCTGGAAGCGCGGGCCCTCCGTCCAGTCTGGGGGAAAAACACGGGAAATAGGTTAAAATGGAAAAAAACAGGAAAAAATGGCAAAAAACGGGGTTAAAATGGGGGTAAAATGGGGTTAAAATGGGGATTTCGGGGGGATTTTGGGGGTTTTGGGAAGGGGCGGCAGTGCTGGCACCGCGGGCCCTCCGTCCAGTCTGGGGGAAAAACACAGGAAATCGGTTAAAATGGAAAAAAACGTGAAAAAACGGCAAAAAACGGGGTTAAAATAGGGAAAAATGGGGTTAAAAAGGGGTTAAAATGGGGATTTCGGGGAGATTTTGGGGGTTTTGGGAAGGGGCGGCAGCGCTGGCAGCGCGGGCCCTCCGTCCAGTCTGGGGGAAAAACACCAAAAAATGGGAAAAAATGATAAAAATGGCAAGAAATGGGGTTAAAGTGGGGTTCAAATGAGTCAAAATGGGTTAAAATGGGGTTAAAATGAGAAACAATGGCATTAAAATGGGGTAAAATGGGGTAAAATGGGGTAAAATGGGGTTAAAGGGTCCAGCCCGCTGAGGAACGCCTTCACCTCCTGGGAGAGCTCCTGGGCGCTGGGGGGGCCAGAAAATGGGGGAGAATCAGAGTGAAATTGGGTAAAATGGGGTAAAACGAGAAAAAATGGCATTAAAATGGGGAAAAGTTGGGTTAAAGTCGGGTAAAAGGACATGAAAATGGGGTAAAATGGCCCAGTTCTGGGGGTCCCTGAGGGGGCTCGGACCGAGCTCTGAGGGTCTCTGAGGGGGGATCAGGCCCGGGGGTCCCTGAGGGGGCTCGGGCCCGGCTCCGGGGCTCGCCGCTCCCACTCCCGCTCAGTCCCGGTGCCCCCCCTCCCCTCCCGGGGCTCCCCGGTACCTGAGCGGGGGCCGGGGGGGGCTGGCGGCGCCGGGGTCGCACAGCGCCGACATGGCGGCGGCGGCCGGGCCGGGACAGCGCGGCTGCGCATGCGCCGGGAGCGCCGCACCGGAAACTCCCCCCGCGCCCCCCGCGGCCGCGCGCGATGGTTCCGCCCCTCCGCGCGCACCCCCCCCTGCGGTGTCACCGCGAAATGAGTCCCCCCCCCACCCTGGGAGAGAGACGGGAAGAGAGAGGGGACAAAAAGGACAAAAAGCGTTTATTGGGGACACTGGGGGGACACTGGTGCCAAACTGGAGACACTGGGAGGGACTGGGAGGGACTGGGAGGGACTGGAAGCCGGATTTGTGTCCGCCGGTGCCACCTTTGGTCCCTGGGGACACCGGGCTGGCTCCGGTGGCCCCGGGGTGGTGGCACTGGTGGCACTGGTGGCACCGGTGGCACTGGTGTGACTGGTGTGGTGTCCCCGCTGTCCCCGCGCTCACTCCGCCGCCGCCATCTCCACGTCTCCGTCCCCGGCTCCGCCCGGCGCCGCCGCCCGCAGCGCTGGGGACAGCGGGGGCGGCTCGGGGCTCCGGTTCCGCCCCCGGTACCGCCCCCGGTGCCCTCCCGGTGCCCCCCGCTCACCCCGCAGCCGCTTCAGCTCCTTCCGCAGCCGCTTCCCCCACACCGCGGCCGGCCCCGCGCGCGCCGACGGCGACCTGCACGGGAGGGAAGCGGGGAGAGGCACCGGGAGCGGCCTGAGCCACCGGGGGGCACCGGGGGAGGCACCGGGGGGCACCGGGGGGCACCGGGACGGAGGGGTCCGCCGCTTCTGCCGCCGCCCCCGCGCCCGCTCGCGCCGCCGCTTGAACAGCTTCTTGCGCAGCTCCTGCGGGGAACGGCGGCGTCACCGGGGGGGGTCCCGCCGGCACCGGAGCCGCGCCCCGGTACCGGAGAACGCGAACCCCGAAAGAAGCGGGGCTGCCGCCAGCCTCGCTCCCGCCGCGCCCCTCCTGGACCTCCCCCGAGCCCTCCCGGTGCCTCCCGGTGCCTCCCGGTGTCCCCGGTCACCGTTCGGGGCCGGTTGATTTTGCCGCCGATCCCCATCGTCCCCTCACGAGCCACTTCCGGTGCGGCAGAAACTTCCGGTCCGGCCGCACTTCCGGTCCGGCGCACTTCCGGTCGCTGCGCCCTTCCCCTTTGCCCCTCCCCGCGCATATCATTGGCCAGCGGGCGCGCGGAGAGGGCTCTGATTGGCTATCATTGTGAGAGCCCCGCCCATATTCAAATTAACTTTAAGCCACCGCCCCTTTACCATTAGTTTGTTTTCATTGGTTGGCGGGCGCGCGCCGGCGCCGCTGATTGGTGGAATTCCCTGAGGCCACGCCCACAGCCGCAGTATATAAAATGGCGGCCGCGCCTCAGAGCGCTCTTTGGGCACTGGGTGAGCTGCGGGGTCCGGTTTTGGGCGGGTTTTGGGTGGATTTTTGTCCCCAAACCGGGCGGGCGGGGGGCAGCGGGCGGCTCCTCCCGTTCTTGGCGGGCCCCGGCGGCGCCGTGCCGGGCTCCGTGATGTGCGGAGGGAAAGCAGCGACCGGCGCGATGTCTTCGGTGCCGGCGGTGGCGTCCGCCGGTCCCACCCTCACGCGCCGGGACAAGGCCCGGGCGCGGCTCCTCCGGGAGCTCCGCCGCGCTCGGGGCCGCCGCTTCACCGCGCTTTTCTCCTCTGCAGGACCGGGAACGCCGCGGGACCGCGCCGAGGGCGGATGGGGGATTTTGTAATTAAAGTTATTAATAAACCGCTTTGAACCGCTTTGGTCTCGTGGCTGTTTTCGGTAGGAGCGCGTCCCGGGGTGAGGGCGGGGATCTCCCGTTCCTTTCTCGGTGCTGGGGCCGCCCCGTGATCCCGACCCCGGCGGCCGTGAGGGGGGGACGCGGCTCCCGGTCCTCCCAGCCGCCGTCTCTATGGTTTTAGCGCACGTGAGGGGACTTCCGGTCTTTTTAGCCGCCATCTCTATGATCACGGCATGGCAGGGCAACTTCCGGTCCTCCCGCGTGTAGTCTCTATGGTTTCCGTGTGCGTGAGGGGACTTCCGGTCCTCCCAACCGCTCTCTATGATCCCAAGAGGACGGGCTCCACTTCCGGTCCTCCCACCTTCCGTCTCTATGGTCCCGGCGGGCCAGAGCGGCGCCGGAAGCGGAGGGAGGGCGGCGATGGCGCTGGACCCGCGCTGGCCGCTGGCGCTCGCCCGCGGCGCCGTCCCGGTGGCGCTGGGGCTGCTGCTGTGGGTGGCGATCGCGGGCGGCGAGCAGGAGCGGCAGCAGACGCTGAAGGTACGGGGAGAGGGGGGCGGCGGGGACGCCCCGGGGCGCGGCACCGGCGCTGAGCGCTCCCCGGTCCCGCAGGCCCAGCCCGGGGCGGACGCGACTCTGGCGCAGCGGCGGCGCCACAACGAGCTGATCATGGCGGCGCTGCGCGAGGCGGCCGAGACCGACGAGAACGTGGCGCAGCGGGCGGTGCCGTGGCGGAAGTGACGTCAGCACCGGGAGCCGCTCTCCCGCCGTTTCCCGGTGACCCCCGCATTCCCCCGGAACCATCAGCGCTGGGCGCGGTCGCGCCCGGAACTCTTTCGCGCGGGCGCGCCCGGACTGCAATAAATCACGGACACTTCCGGCGTCGTTTCCGGCTCCGCCATGTCGCCGGCGGGCGCGGAGGCCGCACCGGACGCGGCGCCGCTGCCGGGCCCCGCTGCGGGCTCGCCGCGGCCGCTGTTCGGCGGCTGCTGGAGCTGCCGCCTGCTGAGCGGCGCGGGGCTGCTGATGGCCGCCGTGTGGGTGTACCAGGGCCCGCGCCGCGCCATGAGGAAGGGCGTCCCGCCCTCCATGGGCGCCATCGCCCAGATCACGTTCGCCGCCGGTGAGGGGCGGGGCCGGGGAGCGGCGGGAGGCGTGGCTTGGTTCTGGCGGGAAAACGCGGGTTTCCATGGAGACGGGGGGGGGGGGGCCCCAGAATTGCTTTTAATTGCTCGGAAATGTCCCCAAAACGCGGCGGGGGCGGGGAGGTCCCCGGTGACCCCCGGTGAGACCCCCGGGGTCCCCGCAGGGCTGGCGGGCTGGGCCATCGTCATCCTCGCCGACCCCGTGGGACGGCGGCCGCGCCGCGAGCCCTGAGGGGACCCGAAACGGAGCCGGGGGTCCCGAAAACGGAGCCGGGACCCCCGAAAATGGAACCGGGACCCCCGGAAATGGAACCGGGAGCCCCGGAAATGGAACCGGGACCCCAAAAATGGCACCGGAACCGCCAATAACGGCATCAGGACCCCAAAAACGGGACCCAGGACCCCAATAAAGACACTGGTACCCCAAGAATGGAACCGGGACCCCAAAAAATGGCATCAGGACCCCCAATAATGGCCCCAGGACCCCCCAAAATGGCACCGGGATCCCGCAATAAATGCCCTGGGACCCCAAAACAGACCTGGGACCCCCAAAAATGGAACTGGGACCCCCAGAAACGGCACCAGGACTCCAAAAACTGCACTGGGACCCCAAAAACCTGCCCCGAGACCCCAAAAAACGACCCTGGGACCCACAAAAACAGAACGGGGACCCCCAAAAATGGCACCAGGCCCCCCAAAATCAGCCCCAGGACCCCCAAAAAAGACCCCGGGACCCCCCAAAACTGGACCTGGGACCCCAAAAACGGCCCCGGGACCCCCCAAAACAGCCCCAGGACCCCCCGCCTGCCCGGGGGGAACAGGACAGGACAAAGTGGAGATTTTGGGGTTTTTGGCTTTATTTGGGGGGGTTTGGGTTTGGGGGCCCCCCTCAGCTCCCCTCCTTCTTGGCCACGATGACGACGGCGGAGGGAACCAGACCTGGGCAGGGGGAGGTCAGGACCCCCAAAATTCACCAGGGACCCCCAAATCCACCCAGGGACCCCCAAAATCCCCCAGGGAGCCCCAAAATTCACCCAGGGAGCCCCAAAATCCCCCAAGGACCCCTAAAACCCCTCCAGGGACCCTCAAACCCTCCCCGAGACCCCCAAGGACCCCCCAAATCCCCCCAGGGACCCCCAAAATCCCCCTGGGAGCCCCAAAATTCACCCCGGGAGCCCCAAAATTCACTCAGGGACCCTTAAACTACCCTGAGGATCCCCCAAAGCCCCCCAGAGATCCCCCAAACTCCTCCAGGGACCCCTCAAACTGCCCCAAGGACCCCCAAAACCCCCCCCAGGACCCCTTAACTCCCCCAAAGGAC